AAATAACGCTTCAGGCGCCTGAGTTAGCAAATTCAGCTCAGCTCAGGCCTAATCAGCAGCAAATATGCAATCTCTGCTTTTGCACATCGAACAAAAAATTTTCACACTTTTTTTCTCTTTCAAATAAATTGATGCTGTACTTTACTTTCTAAGCTACATTGTGGTTATATTCTACTCTTTTTGTCGAAAAAAAACAGAAATGTCGTTAGAAAAAGCTAAAGCATAATTTGAATGAAGCGTGCATCAAGCGTTCATCGCCTTTATACCATTCGTAGCCAACGGCACCTAATCTACATTTTGTTCAAAAGATTTTTTGTTGTTGGAATTTTCGATGAGCGCATAAATATGAGTTTGGGGAATGTTGAAATGTCAAAAAGTAACACAAGAATGTCGTCGTCTTTACTTTACATCAGAATCAAATCTTTACATGTCAAATATGCTGAACGGCAGTCCATAAATATTCATACGGTATACCGAGTGCGTTGCATTTCAATTCGAAATCAAATTCATCCCATTTTGTCGATGGAAGGCTCAATGATTTCAATTTCATTGATCATCAAAGACCGCATTTCAACGAATTCAGATTACAGCAAGGATTGAATTGCAAAACAAAAATTCACAAAACTATGAGGTCATCATCGCAATGCATGTATTTTCGAGCCGACCACTGAATGTTAAAAGAGAAAGCTTTTCCAAATGAAAAAAGAAGAACGTCGACTGGCTGTTTGCTCTTTTTCAAACAGCTAGCTTCATTGTGGTTGAGAGACAATTCAATGCGATTCTTTGCATTTTACACAAAAACCTAGGGGTTTCATTCAAGGCTTGAGAAATGTGAATATTTGTGAATATTGTGGATATTTTTCTCATTGAATCATCGTCAAAATTTCGATTATATGTGAATGTTGTGAATTTTGTGAATATTTTGAATAAAATTTTCAAGATGGCGACGAATTCAAGATGGCGGCTGATGAGAACGCCTGAACTGTCAAATAAGAAAGACTGAATATCTGTGAATATGAGTGGATATTCTGAATATAGCTCAAAACACACCGGAATTCATGAATTTTTGAATGATAAATTCCCCTAGACAAAAACTATTGGCAATTAGCTTCAAAATTACTCATTTCCTAAAGGATGCCACAAATGTATGCCTCATAGCGAAATACTCTTAATTTTGAACTTCTTTTCAAGCCTTATTTCTGGAGTCTTTATTGGAGAAAAAGAACGAGGCGTGACTTCTTGCAGATTTTTATACCATTGTGCTTTCAAGCAGTAGTGGAGAAGGTACGGACTCAAATACACTGTACTTCAGTGCTATTGATTGGTAAATAATCATGGCGGCTCCATATTATTTCAAAAAGCACAAATGGTATAAGGCCTTCACACGTTCTTTGATTTTGGTTTTCGATAACAATCTATCTGAATTATTTTAACCACGTAAGAACTAACTACGGTCAAATTTACGACTTTGACTTTGGTGAGCCCTGGTCATTTTCATGCAAATATGATATGTTTTGGTTTAAATAGTGTAAACGAGCTGTTCATTGTATATGGTCTTCATGAGGCCTTTCACCCACTTTAAAAATAAAGTGAAATCCCAACGTTTGCGAATGTGCATGTATGAGATTCTCAATAGAGCCATTTTCATTAAAGGATTTTGTTGCTGAACATTTTTGTTAACGAAATTATAGCACAAAATCTCCTATTCACTTCGGACGCTATTGTGCTGCTATGCACACAACACTTTTGAACTCTGTCGTATGGAGCATAATTGAAGTGTGGTGTAAGTGTTTTGTAATCCGTCAACAACATAATAATCAAATAGCTCTCTAAAGATTTTCGCAAAACCATTTTTGTGTATGCGTATTTCCATAAATCAGAAAATCTATCTGATCAGATGCATGCTAAAACTATACAAAAATTATAACTAAATTCTAATAGTTTTCAGTGTATATGTCAAGAGTGAAAAAAATGGAATTAAGCCATTTACAGCAACTCAAGAACAACAACAACAACAAAAAAATACGATAAATTATTTACGAATATTTTGTGTTTGAACTGATGTGAGAAGAGAAAAGATAATATGTTGATTTGATTGAAAATAAACGTAAAATGAATCCGACTTTTGGTTCGGCACCACCATCATATACATTCTGCAAATGATATTTTCATATCAATAAAAATTCACAACGCACATGTATGAAAGGAGTGAGCATTTCTGTTTTTGTTGCTTAAAATGAACAAAGTATTTATTCAAAGCGTTTTCCATTGGAAGCATGTATACGTATATACATGAAATGGCTCCACTTCGAAACATTCGCATGAAAATTTGCATATTGGGTTACGAGCAGCAGAGAAATGATATCTTTTATTAAGAAAAACCGTCGCGTTTTATGTATCTCAAAATTGCATGCCGATTTGATTGAATTAACAACTGAGCAGTGGCGGCAACAGCTGTATTCTCGCACTGTTTTCCTAAACGTAGCTAAACAAAAAGCACGTGTTTTTTTCTCCATTTTCTTTAAAAATAATTTCCAAATAAATTATACGAATCACACACAACGTGCACACATTTAAACGAAATTACAAAAACATCGATGAATTTTGATTCACACATTGGTTAACATATTTTGTTTATATTATTTAAATATGTGGCACTGAGACTCTGGATATTCAATATCAAACACTCATACAGGGAGACCAAAAAATACACACACACAAACAAAAAATAACACGACGAAACCAATTGACAATAAGCTAAAGTGCATTTGTGTCACACGGAATATTGGTTCACTTTCAATTGCATTCGCGTTGTACATGGTGGAAAATATATCGCATTTTCAATGTGTTCCTACAACCACAAATGAATCTTTCGAATATATTGATATCAAAATCACAATGGAAATAAAATGGAAGGTTTTGAGAAATGGGGTGGGTGGGAGGTGAGTGGAAATGTTCATTAGATGCGATATGCGGGCAAAAGACACATTTACACTAAACGAATACCGCGGAACATTGGAACGAGACAGCGATTCATTCTATTCAAAAACTGTATCAGAGAGTAAAGCAAAAAATTGAAATGGAACTAAAAAGTATAGGAAAGAAAAAAATTAACGGAACGAAACAGTAAAGAATGAGAGAGAGAGAGAGAGAGAGAGAGAGAGTATTAGAAAAAAAATCTCACCTAAACTGTAAATTCCTGTATTGATATACGCAAATCAAAAGCACCAAGTTGACCAAATCCGGACACATCGGATTTGATTTTGTGTGTTTGTGTGGAGTGGGTGGGTGTGTGTGTGCAAAAGGTAGTATTGAGAGTTCAAACATTAGTTTGTGCAATGGAAGAAATAGATCGAAAGTTTTTGGAGTGCATTCGATTCCGAATGAATTTGTGGACGACTGAATTGGGACTGATTTGGTTTGCTTGTTTTGTTGTGTTTTTTTTTCATCTCGTCTCTGTCCGTTCTTGAAATTTATAACAAAATTTACTTTGTTTGAATACATGTTATGTATGCAAAAGCAAACCGAAACCCAGTTCCCCACCGCAATGTTCACAATAATTTCAGTTGAGCGAATGCATGAGTGGTAGTGAGTGAGTTGAGTGAAATTCACCTGACACGATTCAATAAGTCCGCATGACCCGAAGAATATTGTTCCATAACGTCTCGTACGTCATACGGCTTGAGTGCTTCACGAAACTTTTTGCGTGCCAAAAAGTATTGGAGCTGCATATTCATAACAAAGTGCAAAGGGTGTTAAATGTGCTCAGATTGGAATCATCAAGGCTGATTTATACTGTGCTCTACTCTATCGATATCAATATATATGTACTCGGTTAAATCTTTCGGTTTTTTTTTAAAGACGACGGCCGCTTCATAGAATTGAAGAAAAAAACCGACGATTGTGAGAAAAACGACGATTCGACAAGTGAAACGCAACGCATAACAAATTGAATTCGGTATTGAACATGTGATTTTTATTTTGTTGCCGTCATTTTGATGCCATGAAATGCTTATGTAAACCATCCAGTGGCGTTAACCTGGCAACATGCTTCTGCAACAACGTGCTCCAAACATGTGCTTGCACAGAACTCAAAGTATTGTTAAAGTTTACCTATTATTACACAGTCCACCATTTATTGCATCATATTTTGTTTGACCTTCGCATTGTTGTTCCAATGTTAATAACATTGGAGAAAGCAAATGTTTAAACAAAGCAATTCCAATAATTAAAATGAAATCAATTTCCGAGCTCTACGTCACTTGGCCGAATGTTTCATAATAATATGATGTATTCTTTGTTTGTTTTTTTTTCTAATGGAATTTAAACGAAGCGAGTGAATCAAAATAAAGACATAAAAGTATTCACATCTACAGAACCCATTCGTTTCCGTTGATTATAGCAGAGACCGTTTTTTTTTATCAAATCATAATATCCCATGGAAATATTTCTTCCATACACTTTCTACAACTCTGCAAAAATTTCTATAAATTTCTCCTCTTCTCCCATTTTTACATGGAAAATACACACTACGTTCGAGAGAACGCACACCTTAATCTATATCATTATTTAATAATATCTAAGAATTAGCTTTGAAAGTTCACATTCTACACAACTCTTGTTCGTATCGTCGAAATGTGGGTCATCAAGACATCAAAACACAAATCGTCAAAGGTTATTAACAGCAACAAGGAATTGAAATGAATAGAAATCGGCTCAGAAGATTTACTTGTATATTGTAATGCTGTTGAAAATTGTGAGATGTGCGCATTAAAAGTTAGTCGTATAAAAGCGATGGAAAGTGTGTAGCATACAGTCAGAAAATCCGTTTAACTGGTTCTCGTCTTCCATTAACGACAACAGATATTTCTATTCTTGTTCGGTACATATACACACTCTCTTTGAATGCTCCGTTCAATCCGTAAAGTAAGCGAGCCGGATTTTATTTTTACATTTTGGAAAATGGATGCATGATAAGAGCTGCTGAAAAATATGCAACGTAGAGCATAAGCAAAAGAAATCGACGAAAAAAAATTAGAGGTGGATGTCTAGCCAATGATGCTGAGATAATGATGTGAACAGAGCCGATGTGGAAATTCGTCATGAAAACTCGTTAGAAAATATGCTTAGTTTAGCGTTAACGTACGAAGTAGCTTTGGTCAACGGGAAGGATGAGCATGACACAGTCAAAACAGATATACCGGAAACATCAAAATAATTTCTTCCAGATGGTCTGCGGAATGACATCTGACTGTATGCATGCTACACATACATCAAGCTTTTACCAACCACACTTTAATCCAATTGACCCGGAGCTTTTCGTATATGTATGTACATATGTGTGTATTTTATTAGAACGATGGACGAACGAAGAGGGAAAAACGAAAACTTGAAACCATCAAATAAATCTTTTTAAGTCTCTTTTGAATAGGATATTTATGGCCCATTTCGGTTCGACGGAGGTTTTTTTATTCTGTTGCAATTCGTTTTTTTTTTCTGTACGAAATTCGACTTTATTGCGTTTATTTCATTTTTTTGCCATCTATATCATAGCCAGTTAACGTTCCGGTTTTTCGGTTATGGAATATGAATAGTGGGAATGGCACACACGATAAGAAGGTCATTTTCCACAATCGAATGATTTATGTGCGAGAAGCGAAAGTTCAGGTGAGCAAATAGGCCGTGAATAGGGGATAAAAACAAGAACATGATTTACAAAACCGAAAGAGAGAAATAATAGAAACGCGGTGAAGGATTAAGGTATTACGTCAACAGAGAAAAAAATGGTCTATCAACAAATATTATATGATGTTACTGAAAGCGTTGTCATCTACATTTTCGACCTCAATTAACTGTTTTTTTTTTCGTTACACGCGATCAACGACGGAATATCATATTATTGAATCGGTTTCGATCAAATCTTACATGAAATTCAATTCGATGAGGCAGTAACAGTGACAAATTGAATAAATGGTGCGCAACTCCTAGAAGCAAACTAAATAAACCACAATCATACAGAACATTTGAATGGCACTTTTTGGGAGGACAGAAGAATGGTTAAGTGTTGTATATAGAGAGTTAAAATTGAGCCCAAAAAAGTCGAGACTAAAGCCTTTACCAAAATCTCAATCTACTTAATTTTTAACTAGGTGAAATAGAAACAATGTGACGGATGAAGACTGAAAATGTAACTCAGGGAATTTTTTTCTGGCAAGTTATTCCAAACAACGCAATTTTCTCAGACGAATTGAACCGATTATGTCAGATAGACCAAGAGCTGATCGTACAAACAACTTTTTTTTCTGTGTACGTCAGATTTTCATAAAATTATCATCTTCAGAACATATTCCATCACAATTGTTCTACTTGTTTTAATGTAATTGTGCGGATCGCTTGATTTGCGATTTTATTCGCGCTACACGGAAAAGTATACTTTTTTCCCCCAATACGGCAGATTTTGGTATTAAAATATTCGCTATGATCTAATTAGCTTAGAAAATAAAAAATCTGCCCATTTAATTGGGCAATTGCTTTGAAAATACATGATTTTCATTTCAAAAACATCGTACAATATTGCATGTT